CAAGGAAATTTCCAGGCAAATTCTTTACATCATCGGTGACATTATGGTACCCTCCCACTTTCCCACCTTGGACCCTTTGTGGAACACAGTGTAATGGAGTCGAGGATTGTGACCTTCACGTCATTTTTCTGCATTTATTACACAATTGGGAACAGAGGGAGCTAGAACCCTGACTCATTGCAGCTGGATTGTAAATAAGGAAGGCTGGACCCACCCATTCCTACTGGGAATTGTTAGAAATATTTTAGAAAAAAACAAAAACACAAAACGACCCATATTTTACTAGCTAAAGAAAAAATCCTTACTTCGATACACTTATCCTCTTCTATCAACTCTTTTCTTATAGAGTAAATATGTTGTCTTCTCTTTCTCTTGCAAAATGGAAATTCAAATCAGAGACTTAAACATGTCAAAGTATTTGTTATTAAAAATCAGAAATGACCCCAAAATACCACCTACCTAAAAATGATAAAACGGAAGGCAAACTTAGAAAACAAGCATGCAAACGAATAGTTCAGGAATCATATGGAGTCAATCTATGTTTAGAGCCTACAAAGAATATTTGTACCGTTTCAATCTTTTTGTTAGAGGTAATAGTAAGACTGTGTTGTTCAACTATCTTCTAATTCACTGTGGCAAATAAAAAGAAAATTAGGAGGCAGGGAGCCAACTCATGGTGACTAGACAATGCAAAAGAAAAAGCAGATAAAAGCCGCACTCATTTTATTATGTAAAGTAAATAGTGAACAAATATCCTCAATCCATTGCAATCGTGAAAATGGAGCCCTATTTATCAAATAAATTTACCTTTATCCATAACCCATGAAAAAATAGTGTTTTAACTCACTAACAAAGGCTATGTTTATAAAACTCCACAGTAACTTCTGAATCAAAGAAGAAAGATTATTTACCATCCACTTTTAGTGCTAACTGCATTTTACACATATTGTTTTCAAAAAAGTGATAGTCTTATTTGAATGTTATGCTGCTAGGTTAACAAGGATGTTCTCATATTAAGAACATTTCATTCCTCAATTGTGTAGCCTAAATGAGAATTTAGCCTAAGACTTTCCAATGAATACATGGCCGTCCTATCACCTTGGGAAAGCTCTCTTGAAAGGAAGGTCTTTCGCGCTGGTAGCTCCTTCCATGTTTTACTTCCAACCTGAGTGAGTCTTCTTCATTGGGACTGCCTTCTTCAATCTGTTAGCAGTGATTCGGTTACCACAAAGGTATGACTTAAGCCTTTATTCCTGAACTGAGGCCGCCTTTTTCCCTGATTGTTGAGGGGTTCTTTTACTCTTCCATTTCACTGGTGTAGAGCATACATTCGTACAGAGCAAAGTACTTTGCTCTTGCATGAAAAGGTTACGTGAAAAGAAATTAGAGATGTAATGTGTTAGAATTCCCACTTCACTGCTTGGCTTGCAAAAACCAATGATCTCCTTTGGCTCAGTCTGTGCTTCTCCTAAGTGTTCTGCATGGTGACCAGCCCTACATGGATTTATGTCCATCTAGAATTCTTCCAGCAAGCACAGATTCAAAGGGTTGCATTCTAGGGTTAATTTGTGATAAAAACGCATTTTCATCTAACACAGATCATTCAGTAAAAAAGTTAAAAATAATTAAACAGAAAAATTAGAAGGTTTACATTGACCATCAGACATTTAGTGGTGATAAATATTATTAGCACTTCTAATTCTTTAAAGATAATGATCAATTACTTTTCAAATGAGCCCCGTAGCAAGTGTCCAGGAGTGGCTTATATCACAGGGTGTAGTGTCCCGAGAGTGGCTTGTACCTATGGTGAGCTCATGGAGGATCCATTATGTGAGAAAGGAATGAAAGGGAATACTGAGATAAAGGAGCTATCTTGACACGTATGAACACACACATTCAAAACCTGTTATCCGTGCATGCTTTGCAAAATATCGAGGCTCTTTTTTGTAAGCAGGAATTAATGTCGACAGGAGGCATTACACAAAGGAGAAGCAATGCAAATGACCTAATCTATAGTATGTGAGGTAGTGAGGTGCTGTTTCTCAAATTAATATACCAAGAACTAGGAGAGATTCAGGACTTTTCCCACACTTTTAGGTCTCAGATGCAATCAGGGAATGTATTAGTACCGACTCGGTGCACCAGTCAGTCGGCAAAGTTTATTCTCAGCACCGTGGCCTTGACTGATACCCACAGCCTTCCTGCCCATGTGATCAAATTCATCTTTAGATTAATAGGAATCTTCTAAACTTTATACATATGTATTTTTCCCGAAATCTTAGAAAAGTAGAATATTAACATACTCAACATAGCAATAGTGCAATCTTAAATAATATGCTCAGGAAATTAAAAACTCTGGTAGAAGCACAAAATGCAAGCTTCATTCTATACTGCAGCAGCAAAAAGGTCGCTTTTTCTTTAACAATCTGATGATTAAAAAAAAAACACATCTTATTTAGATGAATATCTGCTTATAAATTATATTAGAACTCCTTCAACGGCTTCCCCATTTCACCTGACAATAACAAACATGCTACAAAATATTCACATTCTAAGTCTGGTTTCACCTTGTTCCAACAGTATCAGCTTGTTTTCCTGCCGGGAGACCTGAGGCACAGTTCTTCGGAGACATCTTCAAAGATTCAGAAGCAGATAGTAATTGCAGCCGTAATTCCAAGGTCCACCTTTTTAGAATATTTTCCAGAACTCACATAGTTTTGAATTTCTTTAAACACAGCTTATTTCTGTTTGCAGAAATAAGAATGGTTACATCTGTTACTGCATTCCGAAATTACAAGCTGGGGATAAAAGTGTACCCTACATTTAACTTTTTTAAGGAGGAAACTCCTCTTCCGACAGTGTTCAAAATCCAGATTAATCATATAATGTAGGTATCAAGTAATCGCCATCTTCTCCA